TTGTTAGACTCCTTCCCCCGTATTTCAGCACCGCTCGCGTGACCTGATTGAGCACGCTCAAGGCAGGCCTGACTCTCAAACGGAACAGGAATTTCACCGCAGCAGACCACCTCCTCACACGTGCATGGGCATTGCTGTTCAAGATGGAGAGGATTCACGTGGCTGATGGCAGTGGCACCAGCTATTAAATCATATGTGCTGTGTGGACGGATGGTGTAAATGTGCACAAGGGGATCTTGCCTGAAGCTTCGTTTTTTTCTGCGGCACCGTATAATTTCAACGCATCAGCATTTGTTCAATTTCAGTGCATAGAAGCGTGAATGGACACACAAACATCTGCAAACTACATTGGTAGCAAAGGTTGCTGTCTTAAAGAACAAATGCTGCATTCAAAAAAGATGCACGCGACAGAAGCAATAGCAGTGCCATTCCTCTAAATTCGATACCTTGGATAGTGAAATTCAGGCAAACAATTTATGTGATGCCTTTGTGTGAAACCTCTGAGAGCCAGCGGCACAAACGACAGTTCAGCGCTCAGAGCCCGGTCTCCTACGCCCCGCTCGATGCAGGCGGGCAGGTGAGGGCCAACAGTTGCGAACAGCATACCCGGCCTTGACAAAGCCCCCGATAAACCTGCATACAAGCAACATCGCAGACCTGCCAACCCCCCGCAGAAAAGCCAAAGAAGAGCGCGCATCCAGCGCGAGCACTGCATCCGCAGCAACAAAGGCCAAGGGCGGGCCACCCCCAAAATTACGTCTGCTGTGACTCCAGCGGGAGTTGCGGAGATCAATCCACAAGCGCATTTGAGCCTGCAGGGTCCTGATCACGGGCCCCGGGTGCGTCAGCTTCATCTGGCCCCCTATAACTCTCGTCGAAACTCCCCAAAATGACTATTGAGCCCCAAAACGGGCCGTTTTTTGCCAGCCCGGCCCGGCACAACCCCCACTTCCCAGCCCAACAAAGTCCGCAGGGTAGAGGAATGAAGCCTCCTCTCAGGAGGAGCTTGTGTGATGGGTTGCATGTTGGGGACGTGCTAGACATTTAAATGTCATGTTTGCATTGTTTGTTGTTTAAATTGTTCAGAGTATCCAAATACCCGACCTTCCATTTCTTCAAATCAATTGACGGACATTTTCAGTTAGCTGAATAGGCTTTGGGCGTCAGAAAATTCTCGTTCTCGTTGTTTGAACAGCAAAAGTACTCTGACGTGAAATTCTGACAAACATCTGAAAGATATCAAAGAGTGGAATCACTGCACAGAGTGACAAGTGTCTGTAGGTTCAATAGTCAAGCCAGTAATTGCCAAATTCTGTAGATTGTTTGAAGTCTTTGCCTTTGACTGGAACTAGAGTACCCTGAGACAATCTAAGGATCTATCAATGTGGGCTCGAATTATGCTACATGAATGCCACAGCGCTCCCTCCAAAGGATTGTCCAGGGTGCATCTTGAGACCCCGCATAGTTTTCTGTGAAACAATTTCTGAAGCTCGCAGAAGCTTGCTTGTGAACTAGCAATCGTAACCGCTTTTAAGATGCAATCTGGTACACCCAACGTAGCAGTCTTGACACATTTGCGGCTTGTTCCTGGATCCACGAAAGCAGTAAATAAGTACCAGGCGGCATTCTTCTCGAGTAGGACACCATGCACCCCGAAGGCCCACGCGGCCAGGGCAAGAGAGGGCGGACCGCTTGAATGGGATGCGCCTAGCCCAGAGCATACTGCACTGCTTCTCAAGCCCGACATTTGGAACCATAATAACACACCCTTGTTCTGCCTCCTGCGGAGCCACTACGCTGGCTGAACTGAGGGCTGCTGTAATTGAAGGCTTCTTCGCCTCACAGGCCGCATCCAGAACACGTGGACATAGGATAGTTGTAGACCATCGACGCAACCACTCAGGGCAAACGGCCTCCAAGTCGCGCCGATAGCCATAGTCATGAAACCTCGATAGCATCCAGATCTGCTGACATGATAATCTGAACAAGCTGAAGCAGCGCATGCTTCGATGAAGGCTTTGCAATACAAATCAGGCATTTACGCTGCCAGCAACGTTTTGTCGCCTGTCACCTGAGCACAGCAGCCAGCACTGGTAGTGATTCGCTAAGTCAGCCAAAAGTGCCGTCCTATCTTTGTACAGCAAAGTGCCCATTGGACCTCGCCCTAGAGAATCTGAGCAAGCCTTGTGTCTCTCCGCCGGAATTATGAACTTGTCATCGGCACCAGAAAAGTCATCGAAATTAGAGGTGTCGAGTGGGCCTTTCACCTCAGAAGCTTCCAGGAGTGGCCCGTGCCTTCATACACTGAGCTTGCCAAGTTCCTGGCAATTGGCTTAATGGGCGGCGACATGCTGCGGAGCCGCTTGAAATCCATGCCCTGCATGGCACTAGATGCGAGCTGCCTTTGTGATACTCCTCTCTTCGGGTGCCGGCCCTAAAGAAAGGATGCGCTCGAATTTGATCTGCTGTCAGTCGGTCCTGAGCCAGATAGAAGGTCTGCTAATCCTGCTATGTACAGCAAATCGGATCTGTTTGCTTTGAAAGGTGTTGGCAAGGCTCCGCAGGATCGCAGATAAGGCCTTTGAGAAGATCTCGTGCCTGACTGCTCCAACATCCCGACACAAAACAAAATGGGATTGCAGCCTCTGGACTGACATGTGGATCTGGAGGTATGTGAAACCATCTTCGCCAATGCATCACACGAGCAGATGTTACCTCACTGCACAAGGAGACGTCTGGAGCTGCTTTCAGTGTGCAAAGCCAAGCTTGTAGCGGATGGGTCATGCCGCTCATCGCTGAACGGCGGGCCACCAAACAACATCTGAGAACAGTTAGAAGCTGCAAACTGCTAGTTACACAAGTCCTTCCAAGGCTCTGGCCTCAAACATGATGATACCAAGTGACCACATGTCGCACTCCTTGCCATATGGCTCCTTCTTGTAGACCTGCAACAGCAAGTCGCTCTTGAGAGGCCAAGCTACAAAGTGCTGCGCAGACACTGGCTCTTGCCTCTGGCCCCATGTAGTCAGGCCTGGCATTTGAAAGGTGAATGGGTGCATGCTGCTGCTGAATACAATGAAGCAAATCCCCAAACAAATGCTGTTTGGACATGCCTGCCAACTTGCAAACTGACAACGTCATGCTCCGTTCCTCTCCTATGGACTTTCTAGACCCTTGGTGAGGGCATCCACGTGGTAGCTCAGAATACAAGCTCCCTAGCACGGCAAGGATTCTTTCGTCGTGAGTGGAGCTCAACAAAGCTTAGGGCTTAGTAAAGAGAAAAATATGACTTCAGTCCGAACATGGATTCTAACAAACCACTCCCAGTACTGGCAGGTCACTGAGGGCCGACTGCAAAAAGCATCTAATTTTGGGGAAAAAAGGATTCCGCCAAATACTCCCCTCCAGAAATAGATTTACTACACATATCGCATATGTGTCAGCTGCACATGCATGGAAGGCGTTATCCACCAAGTTGTAACTTGCACTGGAGCCGGGTCATGGTCTGAACATGTAGGCATAGCATGCCATGCCAAGGATCGAACTGCAATGTCCGCGAAGCTGAGATGACACATAAGTACCCAACTCCAGAACGGTGAGACTTTCATTTTAACATATCCCCCAAATGCCGAAGATGCACAAGAAGGGCATCCAGTAGGGAGCGAAATCCCTTCAAGAGGATATGAGGCATGTTAACTCGAGAAAAGGCCCAACCTTCATCGGCTGGCCACCTGTTCAGAAACCCGTCCCTGGAAAGGCCGTCGCTAGGCTTCGCATCAGATGCTACATGCTCCCAATGCACCCGGCAGAAGATCTTGGCCAACAGTAACAGGTGACAGTGGAAATAACGGATAGGTTCGGCTAAGAGTAAGGCCCATGCACCATTTGAGGACTAACGAACTAGAAATGAGGCAGGTCCAACTATACCACAACGCCCTTGCGTGAGACTAGCCGCCCATTCAAACAACCACATTGGCACAGGATCAGCAAGCGAAGCCTGCTGGCTGCTTAAATTCAGGAGCCAGCGTGGGCAGGTCGTTTCGATGTTGAGGCGCGCGCAATCCCTCGTGACGTGCGAACGTAGCAGCAGTGTGCCTTGGAATCAGGGCAGTCTCTTTTTGAGTGTACCACCTCACTGTTATGTTTCTTGCTACTCGACTTTCCCGTCGTCAGGTTGATGACGCTTGCTTTCCTGCCGCAGCTGTCACCTTCAGGGTGATCAGCTCAGCACCTGCCGAGGAACCTACACCAGAAGCCGGACGAAGGCCTTGGCCAGTATAACCAACCTGCCTGGCTGCGGGACTGAATCCTTGTGGGAAGCTGCCAAGCACCCAAGCACCGGAGTGTCGTGAAGTAGGAGATGCGGTTTCAAACGGGACCCGATGCCACCGTGCTCTGGATCTTCATCCCCGAGCCCAGGGACATATCGCCTTGCTGTGACGGTAGCCAGGCGCACCCTTAGCCACCCGCTATTCAGCACTTGGAGAGGAAAATTTCCTTGCCAGGATCAAAGTATGAGGATTGTGCTTGAACTCCTCATGCCATACACAAAGCGTCAGACAAAGCAAGCATGATGCCCAGCGAGATATGCGAGATATTGTACAGGCGCTTCCAATTGACCGTCGAGGTTTACAAGATGGCCCAGGCCAAGCGCTTCTCAAGGCGTCTCTCGCGGGTCTTTTGAAGCATCAGCTTCCCAAAGGCGAACCAACACCCACTTGACCACTTGAGTGTGAAGTGGCCACGGCGGGACACAAGATGCTATGTTGGCCAATCCTAACGCAGAACAAGACATCAGGGAAAAGGACTTCCCCGCTGCAGAATTGCGCTTGTCTGAATATACTATGCAACGGCAGTTGTCCGTGTAGGCACATCGCGAATCTGTGGAAACCATTGCGCCTTGCAGCACACATATGTGAATCATGTTGGCCCGAAAGATGTTCGGAACAAATCCTGTCTTATCCATAGTTTGGTCCAACCAACTTCCCCCCAACACTTGTTGGAGAACACATGCTTCCGCAAAGAACGAATTTGGGGGAAACTGCATTTCCCAAAACATAGAAGATACATTCTTCTCCCAAATCTGTCGACGGCCACCATCTCAAGCATGGCGGAGTCACGTTCCCACCTCGGAAAGCTTGCTTACACCCGTGCGGAGGGGCTCATTTTTGTTTATTCCGCGTGGCGTTGTGATTAGGATTTTAGTTCTGAGGTGTCTTGGGGGTTGTGAGAGCACAACCTTTCTGAAATGTCGATGTCACAGACTGAAGCAATTTGGGTACCCGGCCACCGACTGCATCTTTTCGCGCGGAGGGTGCCTCGTGGATCTGTATGGAGGACCTGTCTCGGAGCTTTCTGAACGGCTCCATGTTTGCAGGTGCTTCAAAACCAACTGCGCCGGCTCGACTGCTTTGACTATCTGCGCTGCTACCAGCCGGAAGACCTGTCTACCAGGACACCAAGAACTTCCGTAAACCACCTTCTCGATGCCAAGCTGAAAGCCTTCGCCCTTTGCCGGCTCTGGAGGCTGATACTTGCAAAGGCCAAAGTCCTTGGGCAACCAGGAAGGCGCAAAACAGCAAAACATGCATTTTGCAGCAGCATCAGAAGATACACAACCTTCATGTCCAGGGCCGGATGTCTTGACACTAACCCATTCTCAGCAGCTGACAAGCAGGTGGATGTGGCCTCAAGGTCTGCACAGCCAGGTGAAGGAAGTGGCAGATGTGGCAGCATTCGGATGTCTCAGGCACGGCCATCGATGTCAAACACAATGTTGTCAGGCTTTATATCTCGGTGTATGTAGTGCAGGTTGGTGTGAATGTAGTCAATGGCCTTTGCCAGATTGATAAAATGCGAACAACTACCTCTGTGTGGAAACTCCACATGTGGAGGCTCTCGACTCCTCCACCAGCTCAGCTATGTAGAAGCGAGTTTCCTCCTCGTTGAATGTGTCCTTCAGCAACAGGTCTTCGAGTTGCAGCTCAACCACGAGAACAACTCCGGTTAGCAAGGTGCGTTCATGCACGGCAAGATCCTTGCGCATGAGGTGCGTCATGAGGTCTCCACCAGGCAAGTAACTGTCCGGGGCATGAAAGAATGCGAGTAAGCATTGCCAGCGAGCTCACGAGCAGAAGACCAATAAAGCAGGGCAAGTAGTCATGCAAGGGCTGGAGCACTCCATGACCATGTACAGATACTGATCATCCTGAAATGTGTAGTGCAATCCGATCACCCAGTCGTCCTTCCAAAGTCACTGCAAGGCAGGGCTTCACTCTCCTCGCCACCTGGAAACAGTGGGTCCTTGGCCGAGCTGAGGGCTTCTTTCTCTGCCCGTACATGATGCACCTTTCTGGAGATTGCTGGCAAGATAAGTGAGGAAGGATGGCATCCTACATGGCCTGATTCTTGAACACCATCTCCTTCTTGTTCATTTGCTTCATGGCACGGATCTCACCAGTGCCCTCCAAGCAACGACTGCTACAAGTTACACAAGTTACTCGAACAGCCGGTGAACACCTGCGGCATGCAAAAGGGCAAGCTCCGCTTCTTTGTCTCGCTTTGGCAGGCAGAGCGAAAGCAAAACTATGTCTATCCGAGTCCATCATCCGAACATCTTCGAGTACAGCGCCTTCTCTTGCTTCTTCTCCCTCTTCTCAGCATCTGCGGCCTTTTTTATAAGCTGCTCTGCTTCCTTATTGCCTGGATCCAACTCTAATGTTCGGTTGGCGTCTTCAACACATGCCTTGAAATTGTGCAGGGCAAACTGTGCCTGTGCCCTTCTGAAAGTTGCCTTGACATTCTTGGCATCATACTGCAGCACCTTCGTGCAATCAAACTTGGCAGCATCATGCTCGCCCAGCTTCAACCGAGCCATTGCACTGTTGTTCAGCAGAGCGATGGCCAATGCCTGGTCAACATCAGACAACTTGCTTTCCTTGGCTTCGTTCGACTCACCCCCGTGGCCAGAGCAAGGAATGCCATCATGGCTGTGGCCCTGTCCAGAATCGTCGGCATCTGGATCGAAGGTGATGTATTCCACACCATCCTCATAGCGGTTCACTGCGGTAGCAAAGTCACCCTGCTTGAATGCTTCTGTACCTGTTTCCTTCATCTTTGTTGCATGCTCACGACGTTCCTCTGGCGTCATGGCCGATGCAGGCTTCACCTTCTCCTTCCAAGAGAAGAGCTCAACCTCAAAATTCAGCGTGGCACCTCCGGGAATCTTGGGCGGGCTTCCATGGTCCCCATAGGCATAGTCCGAGCGGCAGCGCAAAATGCACTTCTCGCCCTTCTTCATGCTGAGGATGCCCTGATCCCATCCTTTAATCACTTGCCCTACTCCCACATCGAACTTGAATTTGCTGCTGCGGTCGCGAGAGGAGTCGAACTTGCTCCCGTCCTCATGCAGGGTACCCACGTAGTGCACTTCCACCGTACTTCCTGGAGTCGGGGACGCATCTCCATGGCCCTCCACTAGAACTTTTTTGAGCAGGCCGCCATCTTTAGCCTCGGAGACATCGACGAAACCCTCTTCCTCAGCCATGGCGCACTGCTGTCCGGCGAGCCGAGCTAGTTCGTCCCAGGTAACCTTCTCAAGACTGAAAGGTAAAGTGCATTGCGCTTCTTATCACGTGCCACAATGTATCAAAGAGATTGCATGGCAAGTGATTCGAGCCAAGCTCCTGCAAGACAGCACATACCAAAGAACCCACGCGCTGATGAGGCAGTGGCTCGACATGCACTGAAAAGATGCCTTGTGGCGACAAAGCCTGACAATGCCGAAAGCACCTGTTCCAATCACCTCCATGCAGGTAGCAAATTTCCCATCTTGTTCGAGTTCAACGCGAAATTCTGGTTGCCGCGGGCCTTCAGCAACTCAAAGTCACTTATAGTGATTTCCTTCCGACTGTCCCGCCAGTATGCGTCCTGACAAAAACAGAAAGACAGCGACTAGCGGGAGAGACAAAAAAACTTGGCGGACCAGGGACCTGTTGAGCCGCGTAGTTTTTCTTGATGCACTCCTTCTGCTCCTCTGGAATGTCCTGCAAATACTGAGCCAGGCTCTGAGCAAAGCTGAGTCCCGCCTTGCAGGGGCCCAGCCCCTCACGCCTGCGACTTCAGCCGGTCTCGGAGCTTCTCGGACTCTGACCGCCGCTCCTCCGAGGGCCGCAGAGCAATTGGATGGGATGCGCTCCTATCGCGAAGAGGAACTCTGCCGCCTGGTAGTTGTTGAAGCGTTTGACCTTTTGTAACTTCTTGCTGGTCGCTGACTGGAGCCCCCTTCACTTGCTGAGCTCCAGGCCTTGTTGCCTTCAATGGACTTTTTCCAAGCATCAAGCCTGTACCCGCGCCCCAGACACAAGCTTCAGTCTGCTAACAAGCAGAAGACAGCCTGACGTTAGTCGGCGCAGGCTCCTGCGTGATGCAGCTCCCTACGGCTTGCTCAGTTCTTCAAACAAATATACACCTTCGCCGTTGCAGCAGGAGCTGCCGCCGCCGTAGGCACTGCTAGCGTCTTCTGCATCTCGCCGATGCAGGATGTTTGCCTCGGCATGTCTGCTGTAACTGACGAACGACAAGAAGTTGACTTAGACACAAAACAGCACAGTTGCGGGGGCCAACTGATCTGAACAAGCATGGAGGTGTGTGAAATTCATGGTCGCTTTGCAGGTACCATAATTGCATTGTGGAGGCCGTATCATGCAGGAAATCTTAACAACCTCCAATATCCATGCAGGTAGTTTCTACAATCAGCGTTTCATGTACTTGCTCCACATGATGCTGCACGATATGTGGTACACAAGATGGGGCCCACGGTTTTGAGAATTAGTTGCCATCAAGCTGCGTGAAATTTGTGTCAGCTGTCCAGCATCCTTCTATCCCTTCGGCTCAGGTGGCTCGGGCACTCCCTTGACCCACTGCAGACCAAAACAGTCAGTCACGCCTCGGGTTGAGATGCCTTTAAAGCCCCTTCTCAAGCCCTTTCTTTTGTCTGATTGCCCCTATGCTCTGCGCGGACAAGTACAAACACTTCATGTCTGCAGAGTCGCGCACGCATGCGACAAAGCTCCCTGCTATGCTAGGCGTTGCGCAGAGGAGACTATGGTTCTTAAGTGTGTGGTGAGTGTGTGACCAAGTGTCCTAGTCTGTTTTGTGCATTTCTGCAGCCTCTCAGCCGATGTTCAGCCGGAACATATCGTTGTGGCAGTAGTAATTCCTGAGCACAAGGTTCGAACATTGGGCACTCGAACATTGCGAAGGCATCAAGGCAACCGCTAGGACAAACTGGGCTCAGGCACCCAGTTGGGCCTTTCATGAGCTGGAAGACCTGCGCGAACCTGTGAAGCTTGGATTTCAGCCCATCCATGTTGCCCTTCGCAAAGCAATCTCAGGCTAGAGCTTCAGCGGGTTCGCGTTGTCGTCTACCAAAAGATTCCCAGTGACGAAGATAACTACGCCTCACGCGGTTAGCAGTAAAGGTAACGCTCAACTTAGAATGAAAACCAAAGAGCAGGAAGGAGTCGATTCAAAAAAGAGGTAAGCTAAGATGGAGAAGCTCATCAGAGGACTCCATGTTTGCGGGGGTTTCCTTGCAAAGCCCTAGGGAGAGACCCAGCACCACCGATTGTTCTGGAAATTTCTGGATGTGAGACAAAGACCCCGGGACTCTAGCCACCTCTCCTTCCCCCTCCCCGCGGCCCATCGAAGATTGACTGCCCTCCCCCACCCTCATCCATCCTCCTCCCGCCCACTCCCCCTCCCGCTCCCCTCCCTCTCCGCCCCTCTTCCTCCCCTCACTCCAGGCTCTCATTCAGCGAGCAGACAAGTTCATTCACGAAATGGCCGCTCTGTGGGCTTCCTCGCGATTTTCTTTTTTCCCAGCTATTCATCTGGGTCGCTCTTCAACATGTTCTTCCCTCGCGTCCACCCTGCTTCCCCTCTTTATCACCCTGCCCTCCCTTCATACTCCAGAACTGGAGCAAACAACCATGCACGATGTCGGTTTGTTGGTTCTGATGACATGATGTGATAAAAGGTCGGTGTCTGGCTTGCCTTGTTTGCATTGAGTGGCTGCTGCCGCAACCTTGTTAATTCATTGGTGATGCTGCTGCCATCTGCTTCCGCAATATTGGCTGTGCTGGCATTACACTTTCTGGCTCCTCCCCCCCATCCCGCCCCCCCACTTCTCCTCCTCCCGCCAGGCGAACCCGTTTTTCGGAAAGTACGCCTCGGCGAACTCCCAGGGATATGGCCGGTCCCTGGGATCTGATTTCCTTTCTGAGGGCCAGCCTCACCAGCTCACCTCGAGCCAGGCCGAAGCAGCGCGTGGCAGTGCTGATTTCTATGTTTTCCATGTGAAGCTCCTCTAAACTCATTCCAAGCTTCGCAATCTAATCTGAAAGTGCAGCGTGCAATTTCCAACATAAAATGACTGACGCCTACCATGTCATAAGCTAACCCGCATACCAAGTTCATGATATGTTTCCTGAGGCCATCCACATAATGTGGGCTCGCTTCTCATTATATTCCCCTTCAGTTTTAAAAAAGGTACTGATCATTGCATACAAAAACATTGGCCACTGTGTCAAGAAGAGGCTGATATGTAGATTTGCGACAATCTCAGCACCCCGTGGTCCCGGAGACCGGCACCAACTCCAAAAACTTGTATCCGAGACGCAAGTGCTTTCGTACCGGTAAGAGCGGGGCTTCAGTAATCGGATGCTGGGGGATCCCTCCTAAACCCTGTACCATCCCCCAGTATGTAAGCCAAGACCGGCACCATCATTGGCAGAGGGCTGGCAGTCGCACTTGACAATTTGGTGCTGCACCTTCCAGCACGCAGATGCAAACCTCTGGAAATATCTTACGGGGTCCTTGGGACGCATTGGGATGAAGGAGGCACAGGAATGGCTTTCAAGGATTCCCAGGGATTGTTTTAATGAACTGGTGGTCGAAAAAGGGGCCTACAGGTGTTCGAAACCAAGGGCATACAGTTCGACAGTTCGTTGATGTTAAGCGTTAGGAGCTGCGAGGACCTTAGGCGAACATGCCCATCAAAATCCTGGCTTAGCTCCCTGCGAAAATCCATCAATGTGCATCATGGTAGCCGCGGGGGCACGGACATGTTACCCCAGCAAGAACCATGGTAACCAAAAACCATGCGTCTTGCATTTGGGGCGTCAAGCACGTGCGCAACAAGCCTGTGGTGAAAATGCACTTCTTGTCAAGCCCACCTTCTGGAAAGGCAAGCTGACGATCTTTTGGCAGATGGCGTCTGCACCTCTGCCGCTGCATACAAATGCTTTCGTTCTCCTGCTCATTGTTGTACCACCAGCAATCCTGCCTTGGAACTGCTCACCTTCGAACGTCAGCATCGACTGCTGCGAGTACAGGGGATGCAGACCAGCCCTGCATGGCTCTAGAAGGTGCGTCTCGTGCAGTTGCAGATCAAGTAAACAGAAGTCGTTTTGTTTCGCTAACTGGGCTGGGCCCTGTGGGCAGAAACACCTATGTACAAGTCATTCGCGATGCGCAGCTGACCACATCTCGCGGAAACCGCTCAGAAAGCACTAGGCTCAAACTTTCCCGCCAGCGACCTGCATCTGGGAACAGGTGAACAGTCTTGTTGGGTAACAACATGAGGTGTCCCTTGCAACAAAAACATCACTGTTGAACCTATTGGGGTTCTGCAGATTCAAGCTGATAGCCTTTGGAATGCCCAGGAGGGCACCGCCGTCCAACTGCTTGGCCTGCACGCAATCATTCATGTGATTTGATGAACTGATACTTAGCCAAAGTCAGAGCCTGCTTAATCCGCTTTGGCGAGATGTCAACTCCTCAGTCTCTCAAAATCTTTCACCCACTGAACAATGCCTAGTCCGACAAGTCACCGATGGCGTCCAGGCCATACCTGGGCAGTCTACGCAAAGACATTCGAAATTCGCTTGAATCGTTTATGCGTAGGCTGCTTAAGCATGCGACTCATTCGCAATTGCCAGCACTGTCCCGGCACCACAGAAAGGGTCGATGACTGTCTGAACTCCTTCGAGGGAACTAGTACTTTCCAGCGCGTCCACAGGCTAGCACACCTCGCTTACAACTGGGCTTGGGGAAGGCCGCAGCGCATCTTCATGAAGAATTTCTCCCCTATAAGTACCATTTGATGTCAGAATCTCACACTTGACCCATCCACCTTCCACATCCTCCTGCAAGACATGTTTGAATGTGTGCTAAGGCCTGGCAGTCGGCGGACCGCCCACTTCAGGACAGACGCAGTTGCGTTGACTCCCATGCCTGCCATTCATTGAAATTCACCAGGCCCACAAATCCTGTTACAAAATTGAAGTTTGCCGCTGGGGCGCAGCAGGCAGCTTTCCGAAGGCCGGGTGGCTTCGGTCCCCTCTGCAGAATGTCTGGCATCGTGCTTCCCAAGTCCACAACAGTGTCTTCTTCAGTCCCGACACCCACACGAAGAAGTCCCTTTGTTTTGGCAAAGCACAGAAGGTGCGTAAACTGTATCGCGTTCCAGGTTGGTTGGTCCACAGTGCCAAAGTGCACGATCTTGTGCCACTTCAGGCGCACACCCAGTACCTGTCATGGAGCTGAGGTAATGACACAGTGCATAGTGTGAGACCTTAACTAATACGGTGTATGGAACAAGCTGCCTCAGCTCAAAGCCCCCCCCTTTGACGCTAATCCGTCATGCCCTGAGCCCCAAATTGCCGACTGGACGTACTCAAGACAATGTGTCACAATATGTCCAGAGCAGGAACTTGTGATGTTTACCATCAAGAGCAAGAACCATTCCTGCTGTTTTCCAAAAGGAGGCATCTTCATTCTTTTCAACTGACATGCCACGCGCAGCTAGGCAATCGGCATGGATTGGATCAGTCCCAAGCCTTACACTATGCCTCACTATCTGTCTGTTCACGGTAGTTGAGTATAATGCTGCTGAAGCCAGGAGCTGGTGAAGCCTTGGAACAAAAATGGAGAAATGATTTGGTATTTGCATGCCAGAGCTGCTCGCGCGGCTGCATGCAGCACCAAGTATGACTTGCTCACTTGGCCGATTCCAGGCAATCGAACATCGGTTTGGTAAAAGACTGCCACGCCACCTTGAGGCAAAGCTTCCAAGATGCTCTGCACTGCGTCCATGAAGAATGCCTCCCAGTCTTCAAACCGAGGAGCAAATTCCACAACCTCTGACATGTCCGGCAACGATGTGAGGACCATCCAGTTTGACGGAAACGTGCCGAGCTCGCGGATCCATGTCAGGGCGTCGGCGCATACAACTTCTCGCTTGGCCGGCTTGGCCGCGGGCTTTGCACGGCCATCACGCGTGCTCCGTGTTTCAGGCAGGTCACTTGCCAGTGGCTTTGTGGTCTCCTCTATGTCAGCTCCAGAGCCTTTCAATGATATTTTGCAAACACACGAGCCCATCTGGTCTGCACTGGAAAACACTGAAAGAAATACTGTTCTGCAAAGGAGCCAGCGGCCCCGTGGCCACTTGGAAGTCGCTGCATCCACCTGCCCAGGCAATGTGACCTTCTGCAACTGAGTTGTTCATGAGACTGCGGAGCATGTCATCTCCGCATGTTTGGTCTTTTTGTCCATCCACAGACTTCTCGTCTTCGCTAAACCCTGCCTTGCAAACACCCAACCGGCAGCTGCACCAGCTGTCCAACCAAGCAGCAGGGCTCCGATCCCCTGGCGTGGAAAAAAATTGCATCCAATAGCAGACTGATACGCCCAGAATCTGCAACTGTGCTAGCAGATCTTGAGTGCATCACGTGCCGGTGATGAGCCAAGAGCAGCAAAATGCACGTGCGTGATTTTCCTGATTTGTGGGAAACGCTTCTGGAAGTCTTCTGTGCGTGAGACTCGACAGCGAACGTCTCCCAGCAAACTCCGCAGGGATGGCAACTCCAATGCCTGCTTAGCTGCGGGCAGACTTGCTTATGTAGGTTCAGCTGTAAAAAGCAAGCAGTCTGAGCTTTGCCCGTGCCTTGCCACAAGCAGCAATTGCAATGGAGAGGTTGAGGATGTTGGGCACCAGGCCATCGCGAGTCATCTCCTGCTACTGGATTTTTTTAGTAATTTCGTCAGAAAGATCATGGAGACAACTCTGGAGCTACATATCGCTTCTCCACTTTGTGCAGATAGAGCTACGGCGAGCAGCTCCAAAGACTCCCTCCACTGCGAAGTATCTTCGCAGGAGCTCATAGCAGCATTGTATGCAATTTCCTGAGTACGCAGACGGCTTGAAGTCGTGGTGCTCAAACACATCACTAAGTTGCCAACCTCTGGTCTCCAGCCTTAGCCACAGTTCGAGTAACAGCTGACACGTGACATCCCAACGTAGTGTGGATGACTCCAACACAGCGGAGGGACCGGCATCTCGAAGCTGCTGCAAGAGCTGGAGAGAGCTCTGCCATTGCCGGCCCTTTGCACAGGCACTGATTGCCGCGCTGTAGGTGATCCGATCTGGAGTCATCTTGATTACCAACATCTCGTGCAGTGTGCTCAATGCGTGCCTCCACCTGGGCAGAAACATCTTGTGCAAGGTGCTTCTGCCATGGCTTAAAGGATTTTACCACTGGAGCCTGCAGGCACCGGCACTTGCGCTCAGCAAAGCATTGTAGGAGATCACATCGGCAGAAATCTCCGTCTCAAAGCATAAGTCGTATGCCTGATGAAGCCATGTAATCAAGACTGGCGTCACTAGCACCCACGCGCCCCAGAAAGCATTGCCTTGCCTTCCTCCATTGCCGGCTCTTCTCCATGGCGCTTAAGATGGCATTGAGCGTGATAGTGTCCGGCAGAATGGCATGCTGTGGCAGAGCACCCAGGACCAGCAGTGCCTGTTGCCATGCTCCCGTTTTCTCCTGCAAAATGGGACGATGCGCGGCACGCCGGCTCACAACTTCAAGGTCCACTTGACTCTGCATGCAGTCTGCAGCTCAATCGGTAGCAAGGCACGCAGGCACTCGTTGCGGCATTAAACAGAACAATGTTGGGAGCAATATCCGATGCCAGCGCGTGCTGGAGAAAGCAGAGAGCAAAACGCCACTGACCACCCTTCTCGCACGCACTGATTAAGGAAGCGTAGCTTACCACATCCTGAGCTGGACAACTGCCTGAGGACCAAACAGCAAACCTTTTTAGCGAAGATAGAAACCAAGAGTGTGCCTGAACCATCTGGGCTTCCATCCTAACTACGTTCGACATCATGCAGTCATACAGCGCTACGGCAGCCTGCCAGGTACCAGACTTCTCACAGGCACTCATGGCGCCGCTGTAGCTGACAACATCAGGAAGTAAGAGTGTGCCTGACATGCTCATAAGCAAGCTTAGAGCAGGCGCCCAGTCTCCAGTGTTTGCACAGGCGCTGATGGCGGCATTGTAGGCAAAGCTGATCGAAGTACATCGAGATTCAAATAAGTCCTTCAATACATGCAGCAACACGAATATCCTGTAAGAGACCTCCAGATATCATATACCAATCCCTTCTGACGTACTAACGGGAAGAGAGGCAGAGGAAGGACGAGTCTCAAGGAGCAGCATTTACTCTCAACATCTCTCAACAGTCTACTTACCGCAAGCAGGCTGTGTGAAATGTGGATTCATCGCGATACCACAGCTGTCTACAGACCCAGCCCTGCGCCAAACTCAGTCCTGCAGCAGGCAAAGGGCCACACGCCAGTGTCCAGCTTTACCGCAGGCAGCGATGGCGGCGGTAACGGCGAAGGAGTTAACCATCTTGGAGTCGGTCTCACGACTTGCATTCAAAATTTCCAAGGCCGACCTCCAGAGACTGCCCCGAGCGCAGGCTTGGACCGCTGCCCCGTAGGTGACAGCTGTGGGTATCAAGACCAGCTTGGGCATGTCACTCAGCAGGAGAAGCGCCTTTCCTGGCTCCTCGCCCCTGGCGCAGGCAGTGAGGGCAGCTGTACAAATGACCACATCAGGTAGGAGGTCCGCTTCTTGCATGCAGGCCAGGGCTTGCAGTACAAGTTGCCAGAGCGTTTGATTCCCACAGTTCGCAATCACAGCACTGCACTTGATTGGGTCGAAACTAGTGAGCCATCTCTGCGAAAAATATTCCCGTACCTGCGCTCGTTGTCCAGCGGCAGGATTGGATGTTGGTCTTGCAGAGACCATGGTGAGACTTTACATTCCAAACATAGAATCTCGCTCGAAGGCACGCATCCAAGGAACGCGTCACCCCTCATCAAGTATTTGCAGCCTCACACCGCAAATCCGCGTCAGGAGAGGCATGGCTTGGCCTCTCGCAGTGTGAGTCTTTGAAAACTCATCCACCGCTACTTGTGCTTGAGCCAGATGGCCACCAAGACACACAAGGTACCCCTTGAAGGCGCCATCACACACCATCACACTCTCTCATAGCCATTCCTCTCGTTTTCCGACGCTGGCATCATGCAGAGGGAAGGAAAAACTCTGCACGATTGGTCCTTTGTGCTGGCCATTGCTTCTTTCTGAAGGCTTCTTGTAAGAAGCATTAAAGAGTGGGTCTTTCAAAGACAAGCCAATCCGCAGGAGTCAACCCCTTTTGAGATGAGTCCTGGATATCTCTCGCGGCATTTCACGCCTTCTTGGCCCAGTCAAAGCTGGCCGCCTGAACGGAGGACTCACCCGTGTATCCCAGCTTCTCCTTCCATCCTGGATAGATCTGATCCGCATCCTTCTGGAAGGTTAGGAAAGCCCCCTTGATCTCCTCATGGGTCTTGGCATACTCGATGACCCCATCACTGAGGCTGATGTTCCCATATCTTCCAGCCTTCCAAAACTTCCAGGCTTCTTCGCCCTGACGGCAAGAGATGGCACCAGGCTTTGGGCCATCCTTGTGGCCGAAGGAGCCACCCCCTGCAGTCAGAATCACATTGGAATGGCCCAGGTTCTCAAAGAAGGCAGGCAGCCGCAGCGCATTCATCCCACCAGAAATGATGGGAGTTGTCTGCTTCATCCCCTCCCACTCTTGGTGGTAGTATGGGCCATCAGCCTCGTCATCCTGCAGCATGAAGGCAATGTTCTTGTCGGAGGCATCGCCCTCCATCTTGCCGAAGCTCATGGTACCGGTGTGGATGCCAGATGCTCCGATGACACGGGAGATCTTCGTGTGAACAAAAGCCGTATAGCCACGCTGCGTCTGAGGGCTAGTCACAGATCCGTGGCCGGCACGGTGGTAATGCAAGAACTGCTTGGGGAAGTTGCGCCTGGCACAAGTCACAGCTGTACCTCCCGCCACGTAGCCATCAACCAAGAATGCACAATTCTCGGACAAAGGCCCAAACTGGGACAGGATATACTTTCCTCGGGCAATCATCTCGTTGGGATCGTCCCCCGTGATGTTGGCGGAGAACAGCTTGCCAGCG